TAATGATTATTTGCAAATGCTCAGTAGCTAATATATCAAAGATTTATTTCTCATTTGTGTGACTTTTAGGCACAGTAACCCAAGGGCATGCTCTTCCATGGAGTAACTCAGTCCAAATAGCTTTTAGTCTTTTATTTTCTGACCTCCATTTGTGGCTTCCAGGTCACTGTAACCACCACCACCACCACCAACAACAACAAAAGAGTTCTGGAGTGTAATGCATGTTCTTTAAAAGTGTTGGCACACTTGTTACAAGCTGAGGAACATACTGGGACTCCTGTGTGGTCACAGATAGCTTATGTGCTTCTGGAACAGGTGTTTCTTCTCTTGTAGTGGCATTTCATACCAGTAAACCTATGATAAGGTGAAAATCAGGGCTGGGAAGATGGCTCAGCTGGTAAGGCTCTTACCACACTAGCCCGAGGACCCGAGTCTGATCTTTTGAACCCATGGCAAAAACAGGGGTGTGGCAGTGCACACTTGTGAGTCCAGTGCTGGGGAGGTAGTGACAGCAGACTCCCGGTCAGCTAACTTAGAGCTATGGGTGAGCTTTAGGCCAGAGGAGTGCCTAATGAGGTGGACTGCTCCTGAACAATGTCACTGAGATCTCTGCATGCACACACGTGTACCCATATGAACACATATAAGCCAAGATCCCTAGCCTAGGGAAGCTCACCGTGAGCACTCTTAGAATGCTTACTATCTTTGAGTTGGGCAGATCTGCCTGTAGCAAAGCCCATTTCATCACAGTGTATTGAGTAGCTCATCAGTTTGTTGAATACTGTACAGAAAGGGGAAACTAGAAGAGTTTTGGGGGTCATGCTCCCACCATTACACATTTGATGGAGTGCTAGGTGAAGCCATTGCAAGTCGGGACCCGCTGCCTTTTGACCATATTATTACTTCTGTAGCCACTCCTATTTGGTGCCCCCCCTTTTATTATGAAGAACAATACACAGAAGTGTCTTGTGTGTATCTCAGGTGTATGTTCTATCAGTATAGACATAAAAAATAGACTTGCCAGGGAGAGAATATAGGTGTTTTAGTTTTCACAAATGTAATTAAATGATTCAGAAATGCAATTAAATGTGTTTTTGAGACACACCTCATTGTGTAGCCAAACTTGACTTGAGACCTGAGGCCCTCCTGCCTCGGCTTCTCTTGGGTGCTAGGACTCTACGCATGTACCACTAGTTCAGCTGTCTTGAAGGTTTTTGCACCGTGCTTTGTGTGGATGGGCAGAGTCCAAAAAAGCACATCTCACTATGACTTAAGCGATGACAAATCTACCTGTGCCCCTCCCCCAATAACATCTTCACTCCTCCTGGAAGAGAGGCTTTTTCTGTATGTCGAATGTCTAATTTTCTAGCTTTGTAGTATGGTGTGGGCTCTTTCTAATATTCTCTTCTGCCGTATTCCAGAGTGGTGCAGACTTCTGGGCAAAGCCAAGCTGATGATGCCACATTCAGTGAGGGGTTGTAGCTCACAGATTCTGCCTCTGGGGGGCTCTTGGCTCACTGGCATGCTTTTTCCCCCTTATTGATCTCCCCCCTCTCTCTCAGTGGTGCTATTTCAGTAGTCTCTACACCTCTAATTTTGAAACCACAGGGCGGTGATTTCTCGGTCATGTCATTTTTTTCTGTCTAATTTTGTGCTTTGAGTTTTCCTGTGAATTTTTGCCTGCGTTGTCATTGTCTTTTTTTTGTCCTTCCTCTCATTTTCCCTTCTTCCTCCTCTGCTCTATGTTCCCATGGGCCCTGAGATCTTTATGTGTTACTTTTCTTTAAGTTGTATTTCCTCTTTCCCTCTGGACTTAGACATGCTTGCTCTGTCGAAGGAAGGCAGGAGGGGATGGAAAAATGGGAAGGCCCTTGTGAAGGTCCCAAAGGAGCTGCACCTGGGTGTCTGCTCGCCCCAGCTGGTTGGGGAATGGGACAGAAAGTAGGAATTAGCCCAGATTTTATCCTACCCCTGGTTCTATATATGATCCTGGGCAAGTCCCTTCCTCTCCTTCTCAAGGTTTCTGATTAAAGAGGAGAAAGATGGATCTCAGAGGAACCTCAAAGTGGGAGGCATAGTGCTGGACAGTTCCTCAGCACAGGGTCCCATGCTTCTCTTCGTGCGTCAGTGCCACACTTTTCTCCTTTACTCCAGAAGCTCCATGTCAGGCAGTGCCTCACAGGAGAATGCAGAATCCATCCGATCATTTACTGGTTGTTCACAAGGGACTAACTCAGTTCTAAAGGTTGTTAAAACTGTCGGAAGGCAGAGGGCCTGGGGAGGCTGAGCAGATTGAATTCTTAGAGAGGAAAGAGTCCCGACCTGCATGAGTCATGGCAGGGGGAGATGGGGAGGATGGTGGACCGAAGAGTAGCCAGAGGATCCTAGAGCTTCCGAGGAGAGTCAGTTCTGCTGGAGACACTGCCCCACTTGGAAATCTGTTTCTCTTCATCTGTGTTTTGCCTCAGGGCTTTTAACCTTCCTTTCCTTCTGTATGTCCTACTGTTCTGCTTCCTCCATGTCTGTCTGTCTGGCCTTGGCTGGCTGACCGGCCCTGGGCGTCTCCCTCTTTTTCATCCTCATTATCTTCTCTCTCGAGCCTAGATTCCTCCTCCTACTTAATTCTCTCTGCTGGCCAGCCCTGTCTATGGCTCTATTGCCTAGCTCTTGGCCATTCACCTTTTTATTAGACCAGTCAGGTGCCTTAGGCAGGCAAGGTGAAGCAAGTGTAGCACATCTTTACATAAGTAAACAAATGCACCACAAACAAATGCAACATTCCTTTACATGGTTAAAGTAATATTCAGCAACATGAACAAATGTAACACATCTTTACATAGTTCAAGTAATATTTCACAAGAGTTTGTGATAGTAATAACCCCAGAATCACAGTGGCTAAAGTCCACAGAGGTTTACTTTCACTTCATGTGTGTTGTGAGCCACCTCTGGGATGTGTTGTTTTCACTCTGCTGGTTGATAGATCGTCTTCTATCTTGAAGTCTGCTGTTCCTCTTGTGGAGGAGGTTGGGGGAGAACTAAGATGAGGTGGTGGTCTACTGTTTCCTGGCTCCCTCACATATAATATGAACTCATGGACTTATGGGCTGGAGTTAGTGACACTGGCCTCACCTAATTTCAGCCAAAGGAAGAAGTTTGAGTGTATTTGTGGGTTTGCACTAATGGTAGCTACACATGGAGCGAATGATACTTGACTTCATGACTGCTTCAGCCATTAGGTTGCATGAGCACATAGTGAGATGTCTAGAACAGCACCAGTGTTCATTGATAGTAGAAAAATCATAAGTAACTAGTAGTTTCTATTGTGTTTTTACCATACTGTTCATCATCTACTTGTTTAGCAAATTTCTTCTGATTTCCCTTAAAAATACAGAAGTGGACTAAGTGGTTCTTTAATGGACTTTATCTACATACATGCACACACATATGTATGTAATGTGTGTGTTGGTGAATGTATGTGTAGGTGTGTGTGTGTGTGTGTGTGTGTGTGTGTGTGTGTGTGTGTGTGTGTAGGTCACAGGACAACCTCGGGTATTGTTCTTTAGATGCCATACACTTTTTTATTTTGTTTGTTTTTTAGATAGGCTCTCATTGGTCTGGAACTTCCCAACTAGGCTAGGCTGGATGACTAGCAACCCTGGGTTTCCACCCATCTCCACCTCCCTAGCTCTAGGATTATAAGCACATGCTACCATGCTTAGCTGTATGTGACCTCTGGGATTGAACTCTGTTTTGCCAACTAAGCCATCTCCTTAACCCAGCATGAATTCTTAAGAAGTGGAGATGACCTAATGAAGTTTGGACCTAGTCAGGACCCCGCTCTTCTAAGGTTTTGGTTGAGCACAGTCAGCTGCGCTACTGTAAGAGGATTACTTTGTGAAGTGATAAGACTGGGCATGAGCACAGGTCTTGCCAGTCTGCTCCCTGTCTTGGTTTTCAATTTAAGAGCGAGTGACTCTAAGCTGGCATTCATTTGGGTCAATGTAGGAGCAGTCAATATGTATTATATGTCTTTGATGCTGGTCTCTGGATCAATTGCAATTAGTTTGCAGCAGATTGCATTAACATATCTGAAATTAATACGGCCAGTGGTCTAATGAAAAGGAATTGACCGTGACCACACTGTGGCTGTTTTTAGTTTCTCTCAAATGTGCTTTTCAAACTACAGTTTTTTCTTCTTTGGTTAATGGCTTTAAATTGGTATGTCAACATAGGCCTAATCTATTGATTCTTCCCATTTGCCTTTTAAAAGCAGTCCCTAATAATGACATGTGTGTAACATTTGATGTTTTCTTTCATTAGGTGGCTTTTACTAAATACCTTAAACTTGTGTTTTTTCTTGGAATCTTACATGGAATACAGCAGACTATTAAGCCTTTGAGTGTGTTCATTTATCAAATTTTTTGTTTTTCAAGTCATTAATACTTCTAAGACTTAGAAAGTCAGAAGTAAGATTTAAGAAGTACTAAAATAGTAGATGATGTGAGCACTGTTTGTCTCACTGTTGTTTTTATCCAAGTATTATTAATTTTTAAAGAGGAATTATAGTCAATTTCAATATTAACATTATAAGCAATGTATACATTATATATTAGTACATATAGATGGATGGGAGGAGTGATCTTTAGGCTTGATCATGTCAAAGCTTGAATATTTTACAAGTATACGTGAATTATGTTTATTTCAAGTCCTAAGGGATGAATTTTATTTTTCTAGTTTAGAGTTAGTCACTTTCTGAGAGTGGAACAATTTTTGTATTGGGAGCAGATAGCAGGATTTATGCCCTTGGTCACCTCACTGATTTTTTTTGGTATTTTCTGTCTGCCAAGTAAGATATTCTCCTAAAAATGCCCAAAAGTTGAGAACACAGTGCCTTAGAGCAGAAGCTCGTCTGTCTGTAAGGGTCTAGCAGGGGTGTCCAACCTTTTGACACTGGTGTGACAGACACTGTGGTCCACAAATGTGTTGGACCATAGTCATAGCTGTCCTGGGGTACATGTGGTCAGGTCTCAGGTTGGACATACCTGTGAGCCTTGTTGGATCCCCTGTTCGAAAGAGCTCTTGAGTACATCTTGGTTTGGAGGTTATAGGAGATGACATGTTAAGGACACTTCCGAGCTTCTGAAAGTGACTGAAGGTTCTGTGCACAGCCCCTAGGCCGCAGCAATGTGGTCAGTCTGATATTGCCTTGGACATTCATGGAGACCATGGTAGGAGCTGATGGGGTCAGATATCAGGTTATTTTTCCACCAGCTTTGAAATCCAGCTATGATCAAACTTTTAACTGGCATTAATGGACAGTCATCTCTTATAAGTTCCTTTACATTATGACTTATGGGTGTAAACATAACTAAATGTATCCCTTTTTTCATTGAAAATGAGATTTATAGTTTTGGTAGGATATACTGTTAATATTATTGGATAAAACACAAAAATAATTTACCTGCATGTCATCTTGTTCTTTATATTCTTTTGATATAAATTAAAAATTGATGGTGTATTTTGGAAAAAAAAACCTTACTTCCACTGAATCTTAAAGCAGGATTATATAATATCCAACTGTAGCTGAACAGTAGTCTAATAATAAAGACTCTTTTAGGTAACTGTTACTCAGTTTTGCTGCACGAGTGAGATCTTATTTAAAATACCTATCTAGGCTCCATTAAAAACTAAAAGGCTCACAGGTTAAGAGCACTGACTGCTCTTCCAGAGATCCTGAGTTTAATTCCCAGCAACCACGTGGTGGCTCACAACCATCTGTAATGAGATCTGGTGCCCTCTTCTGGCCTGCAGTCATACATGCTGTATACATAATAAATAAATAAATCTTAAAAAAAATAATAAAAACTAAAAGAAGTGATTTAGGGAGCTGAGAAGATTGCTCAACCATTAAGAGTATGCACTACGCTAGCTGATGACCTGAGTTTAGTTCCCAATCCACATCAGGTGACTCACAAAGACCTGTAACTTCAGTTCTAGTGTATCTGATGTCCTTTGGCTCCCACATGCACCTGCACGCATGTGGTGCACAGAAACTCTTACTAGCACATGTATGTTCACGTTTAGAAAAATCTTTAAAAAGAAAATCAAAGAAAAGAATTAGTCTGTAGCTTCATAACCTCATAGAGTTAAAAATATTTTGCCTGAGTGTGATTAGTAGTATATATTAGCTATTAAGATAATGCTATGGGCTTTCTGAAACTATTTGAGCCAGCTGAGTGAGGGGAGGCATAGCTGTATGGGTGGACCTTTAATGTTTTTCCAAAATAACTTCTGATCTGAAAATAATTACTAGCTCACAGTATGCTACAGTAAGACAAAACACCCAGTAACAGTCATGTGCAGCCTTTTCCTGCCTACTTCCTCTAATGTTGACATCTGATGCAATTCTAGAACAATATTGAAACCAGAAATTTGCACAGATGTCTTTCTATACCTAAGCTATTGAACTTTTTTTTAAAAAACATTTTGAAGTGTTTTTTCTTTTCTTTTTCATTTTTAAAAATAGCATCTGTTAAGAGTTTCACCATGACAGTCAAATTTTATATATATTTTTTGAGATTATAATATAATTATGTCATTCCTCTCCCCCTCACTCCCTCTAAAGTCTTCCATAAATCTCTTTGCTCTCTTTCTAATTCATGGCTGCTTCTTCCATTAATTGTTGTTATATACATATATACATGTATATTCCCAAACACAACCTGCTTTATTGGTGAAAGTATTAAGGCAACTCCATGTAGTTAAAAGGGAGGTTTATTAGGTAGGGGGTTTTACTTACAGCAAGTAAAGGGATAGGTTACAGGGTCTGGGAGAGGTGTTTTCTGGAGAACTCTGCTCGGTCTGCCATCCAACATCTAGGATCACCAGGAACCAAGAGAGCAGGCACACCCGGATCTCAGGTCTTAAGGGCTCCCGTCTAGGCCCTGCCTCAGGGGCAGGCCATAGGTAGGTGTGACAGTTACCAGAAACCTCACTGGGGGTAGTACTTCTGGGTCAAAGCTGGAACAGCTACCCACTACACTGCTTAGTCTGTATAATGTTACTTTTATATATATCTTCAGGGCTGACCATTTGGGCAGACTGTTTCTCCAGTGCTCAGCATTCCTTAATTGGCAGTAGTTCTTTGGGAAGCATTGAGGTCTCTTGGGCTTTCTCCTGTCCACATTAGCATGTCTGTTGTTATCCTTATTCACTTTTTGTTTAGGCAGTCATATTAATGAGACTTTATGGGCGCAGGTTCTGACATTGCAAGAGACACAATGTCGTAGCCAACTTCTTGATCCTCTGGCTCTTACTGTCTTCTGCAATGATTCCTAGCCTTAGGTGAGGGAGTTGGTTTGTAAATGTATCCATTGGGACTGGGCTCTAGAACTCACTTTGGTTGGTTGTGGTTTTCTGAAGCGGCCCCCTTACAAAAAGAAGTTTCCTTGATGAGGGATGAAGACTACACTTCTCTCTGGGTGTAAAAGTAAATATTTAGAATGTAGTTGGGGATTGTGCTGGTTAGTAAAGTGGTGATTGTAGATTGTCCTCTAAGATCTGTGGTCTCACTAGCCCTGGAGAGTTGGCGATTTCCCTCTTGGTGAGTGAGTCTTAATTCTAATTAGAGGAGTGTTGGCTACTATCGAAGTATGCAGGTCACTATTGCACCCTTAGAGTTACCCTGCCATGTTGGTTGCTGTTGTGGTTCATAGGCATGGCATCATAGCCAGGGAGATCTGTTGGTTCCTTCCTTTGGAAGCTTGCATTGTACCTTGTGGTACCATGAAAGCTAGTCCTTCAGGAGCAAGCTTTCAGGTTAGTTCCGCTCAGGAGCCACAGGTCTCTGTATCTGAAATGCATGGTGTCTTCAGCAGTACAGACCTACCTTCCACTTCTGGGGCCAACCAAGGGCAATAGCAATAGCCTGTAATGTTTGGGAATCTCCTGACTAACAACACAAAAGAGGCCTTCTTATGCCTGGTGTAGGGGTTTTGTTAGATGGTCTTTAGCTTTTAGAGGGAACATTATCAGCCCAAACGAGAAAGTTTCATTTAAACTATATGGGTGTATTTATATAGATGTACATGTATTACAGTTGTTTTAGGTTGATAATTAATGGTATGAACATTTCCTAAAGGGTCGCATTATGACAGTTTTTATTCATGTATATAATGATCTTTTACCCCTTGTTACCCTCCCTTCCTCCCTCCCCCTTCCAGTGACCCTCCCCTTCAACTTCCCAGCCAGTCCCTCTTCTACTTCCATGCATCTCTCTCTATTCCTCTCTCCCCCCTCCCCGAGAGAGAGAGAGAGAGAGAGAGAGAGAGAGAGAGAGAGAGAGAGAGAGAGAGAGAGAGAGACTATGACCCAGTGAATTTATTCAGGGTTACTTAGAGAAGCATGGCCAACTTACCCAGTGACTATCACCTATAAAAATGTCTCTCTGTCCCCAAACAACTATTAAATGCCTAGTCCTTAGGCCTAGATGAGGCCTGATGAACCCCTCCCCTACATGACAGAAAGGTGATTTGCTCAATCTTGTACAGGTAATAACAGTTATACTTTTACCATGTTTTTTAAACATCTACATTTATTTGTGTGTGTATAACTGGTTTTTGATATTTTCGATTAAAAAGCATTGTGGAAGATTTACTTAGATTTATATCTTTAAGCTGAGTGTTGCTCATTGCTCATTGATAGTATCTGTAAGACTGGCCACCTAGACCAAGTGTTCTTTTTCCCATTCTTATTACCTGTCCTCCCCTGTCTCCATAGGCTGGTCATTTAACCCCCAGAAGATGGCTGAACCTGCAGGAGTACCAGAGCAAGAAGCTCATGTCAGAGCATGGAGTGCGTGTTCAGAGGTTCTTCGTTGCCAGCACTGCTAAGGAGGCTCTGGAGGCAGCCAAGAGACTGAGTAAGCTGGTCCAGGGGATGAGTGTTGGCCATCAGTGGAAGCACGGGACAGGGCTTCCCACTCCTGTGCCTTTGCTCCGGGTTATACTACCTGGGTGGGAACTCTGAACTGCAAAAGCAAAAGAACACTTGAATCAGGAAAACTTGATTCTTTTTCTTGAAGTAGCAGGACATAGGGGTCACGTTGTGGGAATTTCTCTTAAGTTTTCCTTTGCATCCTCTTCTATCAACTGTGGCTTAGTGGTGGGAAGAAATAGGGCTGTAGATGAGGCATGAGAGTGACATCCTTCTAGGAGCCTCTTGAAAGCCAAGATGAGTGATTGGAGGAGAACAAGGGGAAGGCAGGCAGCAATTTCAGTTTTTTTTTTTTTAATGTCATTCACATTGGCCTTGAACTTGTGATCCTCCTACTGAGAGCCAGGTGCTGACGTCACAGCTGTGTGCTGGCAGAGCCTGGCTGAGGGCATAGGGCATAGTTTTAAGCTCCAACTATTTTGCCCTCCCATTACCAGTTCTGACTGCTTACGAGGTTCTCCTTTCTGTGCCCCTGGTTCCATAGCTGTAGAGCAGGGCTGTGCTTCCCTCCCACCACTGCCGTCTTCTGGGCCCTGCTCATTGTAGTGACGGAAAGTCTCATTCATGTCCCTAGCTGTGGGTGGAGAAGAATCAGGTCCTGCTATCTTCTTTCCAGTGACAATTCTGTGTGGTGGCATAAAGATTCTCTTATTGTAATTTGGATTATAGTATCCAGTATTAATAAAATGGGAGCCACAAAGAATATTTAAAATTCCTAATAGTCTTTAAAAAGAAAAAAGTGATAGGTGAAATTAACTTTGATAATAAATTTAATGTAGCCAGCTAGCAACATTTTATCATAAGACTAATATTAATGAGTATCAGGATCTTTTCTTTTCTCTTCTCCTTTTCTGAGATAGGGTTTCATGTAGCCCAGGCTGGCCTTAAAGTAATCCTATTGCCGAGGATGGCCTTGAACTTCTCTCCTGTCTCTGCCTCCAGACTGGTAAGATTATACGTATGCATCATTGTGCCTGGCTCATATGGTCTAGAACTCAGACCCAGGCCCTGTATGTCACACTGGGTGAGAATTCTAACAGCTGACGTACCCATAGGACCGTAGTCGTTACAAATCTTATTTCTAGTTTACACTATGGCACATCCCATTTCACAGGAGTCTCATTGCCAGAGATCAGACACCGTGACAACTATATAAGATAGTGTAGTTCTGGACACTAGGAGGATTTGAATGTGCCTATAACCTTGAGGACCAGTTTTTTTCCTGCTAGGCCTGGAGGAGATCCCTAACCCCCTTAGTGACCTTGAGGACAGACTGGGTAAAGGATGGTTTCCTAGAGTTTTTTCCAGGAAGGGATGATTTTTGTTTTAGGGATTGAAAAAATGAGAAAAAAAAAACAAAAAAAAAAACAAGTTAAGTTGGTCTTTGCTTTTCATTTTCCTCTGTATTTCTTCAATGCAGGGGCCATGTACTAGTGTTCAGGCCACTCTGGGAGCCACTGATGGCTTCCATGTCCCTAACCAGCTTAGACGTAGCATGGCTGAATGACAGCATGCCCTTCAGATCTTCATGGAGTTAGGAACTTAGTGAACAACCTAGCCGCCTACTTTTGGGTTTATTTTTTAGAAAATACTTATTTGGTCATCATTTCACAGTTGGAGATTCTAAACTATGCTTTTAAGATAATTCTTGCTATTGGGAAATTAACCGTGTGTTCTGTACTTGGTTTACAAGAATGGAGAAAATGGACAATAGAACAAGTTTAAAAGAAAATAAAAATTAAATAATGAAAATAAACTGTTTAAAAACCTGAATTTTATTTTTGATGGTTTTTAAGATATTCATACTAGATGAAGGGCTTGAGAATGGAAAAGGGATTAAGAAAACCAGATCTGATGAAGGAAATGAGCACAATACTGCTGTGCATGTGTGCATTATTTCCCTGTGAGTGCCTACGATGTTCTTCAGTGGTCAGACCAGTGGAGGTTCTCTGTGTGGACCCGCTTATACCTAAATAAGAATCAGGGAAGTAATCAAGAAGCTCCTGTGGGGCTGGGGAGACAGCTCAGTGAGTAAAGTATTTACTGAGTTTGATTCCCTGGAAGCCGCATAAGACAGGGAGGAGGGCTGCAGCAGGTCATCCTGGGAGTGAGTGAACAGACTCACAGACAGTGAGTAGTTGTCTTAGAAGCAAGGGCTCCTCTAGTTTCTGATGTTGAATTTTGTTGATCTGAGAGGAAATTGTTGACTTTGTAAAAGGAGATGATACCAGTTCTAGAAGGTTTAAAGTAAAACAAGTTGATAGTAGAAAAGAAAGGAAGTGTATGTGTCACTGTTAACTGTGCCTATAGAGAGCCAGGCAAATGAATATGGTGGAACTCCATAGTGTTCATCTTCCTGCCACTACAAGATTGACAAGGAACCACAGGCACACTTTTACCAAATAGATTTGAGGTTAAGATTAAAGATGGATTACATATATGTCTTCCTGATTGTGCTTGGATCTCCCATATATATATTTATATGAGTATTAATATGCTAATGTAGAAAGTATGATATAAACTTGCATTTTGTCATCATCATCATCAGGGACATCTGATTTCAGGGGGCTCATTTCAGTCATAATTCAAGTTTGTGGGCAGATGAGATATATATAAGTAGTGTCCTGTCAATCTTGTGTTAGGAGAACTCGTATTTTAATGTATAATGTCTTTTTACTTTTCTTATATTCAGATATTGTGTTACTCACCTTTGTCAATGCTGTGACCAAATACCTGTCCAGAAGCAACTTAAGGGAAAAAGTGTTTGTTTATTTATTTAGGCTCACAGTTTGAGAGAACACAGTCTGTTGTAGGGGGAGGCATGGCAGCAGGTAGCTTATGGGGAAGGAGTTTAATTTTCACAGAACAGGTTGCAGAGAGCAGATGGGCAGTGAGGTCATGCTATAAAACCTCAAGAGGTCTACTTCCTCTTCCAGGCCTCTGCCTCCTTAAAGTTCACAACTTTCCAAATAACCCTACCAATTGGTGGCTTAGGATGTGAGCTTGTGAGTGGTATTTTACATTTTAGCTTACAATTGATATTTTTAAATAAAATGGTGTATAATGAAAGTTTTTTATAATACATGTTATGAAAGTATTGTGAAAAATGCTCCTTGACAATAGGTGTACTTGTGTTTGAATGTAGCCCCCAACCCCATATGTTTCTTTTTGAACAGATTGGGTATCTGAACCTGTAAATGAAAATTTCTGTATCATCAGCAAGTCCCTCATACCTAGCAGCTGCTCCCAAAATTACTACACTGAGTCTTATAGTAATTATAAATGCTTGGCCAGAACCTCAGGCTTATTACTAACTAGCTCTTACACTTAAATTGACCCATAATTCTTATCTATGTTTAGCCATGCGACTTTTCTTAGCATGGCATTCTCATCTTGCTTCCTCTGCATCTGGCTGGCGACTCCCGACTCCGCCCTTCCTCCTCTCAGCATTCTTAGTTTGGTCACCCTGCCTATACTTCTTGCCTGGCTACTGGCCAATCAGTGTTTTATTAAACTAATTTGAGTGACAAATCTTTACAGTGTACAAGAGGATTATTTCACAACAGAACCCCTAGTCCTGGTCATCGGTGAATCAGATCAGCTGTGTTTATACTGTTACTCTCCTAGACATAACAGAATATGTTGCCTCTCAGGTGCCCCAAACTTTCTTACTGTTCCATGTCCTCTGTAATGCCTCTCCTGTCTTTTGTATTTAGTCCATTACCAAAGCTTGTCAATATTAAATATAGCATTTTTACTTTATTGACAAGAAAACAGGCAAGATTAGGTTTAAAAAAACAGCCAACATTGTTGAGTTAATAATCAGCAGAGATGTGATTCGCACCCAGCTCGAGTAGATTTAATAGTGCCCTCATGCATTTATCTCTTTGCTGTCTTGATGACAAGTCTAAGGAGATGGTTTGTATGGTTCAGTATGTTTAAAATTGAAAGTGAATATTAATAAAATTAGAAGGTTGTATTAACTTGATATGGCAGGTTCTTAGGTGCAGTTTATAAAACCTGTAATTTGCAGATACTTTCTTAATGACTCATTTTGTTGTATCTCTTTGGGCAACAGAACATTTTGCTGTATAGTTGTGGAAAGCTTGTTAACTTGAACATTTGTTAGAATGGGCAATGCAAAGCTATTATTTCTGAAATACAATTTGTAATGATAAGATATTGATTGAATGAGATCCTCATTTTATTGCACTGAAAACAGGTTTATATCTGATTGAGAGAATAAATTTGGTTTGGTAAATGAAAATTTTAATATGTGGATCATTCTCACTTACGCAGCAGTTTATAATAGTGTCTTAAGCATGCTTTAAAGAAGGAAGAGTGCCTGAGAGATGGCTCAGTGGCTACACATACATCGAAGCCTGATGAACTGAGGACCTTGTGGGAGCCCGTTCTGGGGTTCCTCGTGGCTTTACCCAGCAGGTCCGAATAGAGGATGATCAGGACCACGGGCCTGAGTGCAGGTGTCTGAGATGGTCTGCACTTGGCTGTGTTGGGGGAGGAGGTCTTTTGCTCCACCCCTTGGCGT